TATATATATATATATATATTTATTTATTTATTTATTTCACAATTTTACTGTTTTTACTGTATTATATATGATAAAATAAAAGCAGCACTGGGCTTTCAAAAACAAAACAAAAATCTTACCAGCCCCAAACATTTGACCAGTAGTGTGTTTGTGTGTGCTTGTAAAATATATTAATTTGTATATAAACTAAACATATTGTATGCAATTAATCATATTTAAATGCCAATGTATAATGTTTGATCAACTGAATAATCAGCTCACTGATTTTCTGTACCTGGATGAACAGAAGCAGAAGTCTGTTGAGCTCTTGGTCTCTTTGTTCTGGCGACTGCTGGCTTATAGTACCCAGCTGAGTTAGTTGCTCTTTCAGAAGCACCACTGGATCTTCATGTGCTTTCAGGTCCCCATTTGTCTCACTTTGGATTTGGGTAGTTTTCACTTCTATGCTCTCTGAACTCTCCCCTGACGCACTAAGTTCCCCGTTCTCCTTATTGATTCGGTCCATTTCTCCAACTGGCTCCTTAAAATAAATAAAAATAACAACAGGATCATTTTACAGCTCTAGGAATTTTAGCTCAAACACCTGAGACAAACTTGATACCTGAAACTCTGAGCAAAAAAACATTTTTTTATAGGAAGTTGCCACAAAGGAATGTACAGTATAAACACTGAAACTGAAATGTTTCATGTTTAATGAACAACATATTTTCATTAAAAGGCAAATCGGCAACTGCCTTCTTTCTGTTACCAAAAGACAATCACATCTTACAATCAGCTGTTCACATGTTAATGGGATCTTGTGATGTAAAGAAGTGAGCTTGTTTTGCTACAGGGAGGACAATTCACATTCCTGAAGAAATGACATGTCTGCACTGCACATTCCCACCAGTTTATTCACTCAATGTCTAAATACAGCACACGAATGTCATCTCATTATTTTATTCACTGCGTAAAATATTCTTAATGCTCTACAATAGCTGGCTTGTCTCTTGCTGAAATGTTTAAACCTGATACAAACAAATTAGTTTGAGGGCAAACAAATCATGCTTATAAAGCACCCGATTAAAATCAGTCAAGCTTCCTCGTTTATTTTATCTTTATTTTGTTGTCCTCCTAGAAGTTGAGTCTCTAAGCAACAGAAATGCTTTGAATGCACTTAAATGAGAAAAACTATTGAATTATGACAGCAGGCAACCTCACAACAACAGCTGTCAAAATGAGTCTGTTGTGAGATATGTGAATCAGCCTTTCAAACCAATATGAACCCTAGGCAAAACTCCAGTTTAGTCAGTCTGTAACCCCACACATACCTGTTGTTTGGTGGGTGGCATCTCAAGTCTCTGCTAAGGCTTGTGTACGTAGATGTATGGCTGGACAGAAGGTTTTCCTCTGGCTTCCCATGTCACAGCAATCGGTGAGTGGCCGGCTGAGACATGCCTCCCACTCTTGTTGCCTGAACTCTGCACAGTATAAAACTCCGCCTGGTCATGTGCCTCACTTCCTTATAGTGAAAAAAAGGAGAAGGATGTGCGTGTGCGTGTTTTCAGCACTTCAATAGACAAAGTAGCATCATGTGAAGACGACTTTATTGAAGCAATACCTCTGATTTTAGTTATATTATTCCAAAAAGGAGATTTAAAAATCGACCAATCAAAAATGAGTTTGAGGGAACGTAAATAGTGTCTATGCCTTCTGGTGTTTAAAGTGATTTAAAATGCGTCAGATGTTGAGCAATAGGGACATCATGTGGTAATTTAAGATAGTACAAAAATATTACACGACTAGACAACATGGAAACTGTAGACAAATATAAAGAACATTTCTAAAATAAGAACAATGAAAATCACCTAATGACTAAACAATGTAATAGATAAAATCCTCGTACAATTATCTGAGGGACTCATATATGTTTAGATAATTTTCACATTTAAAATATTGTCAGTATAAACATTAAGTTTATATACTCAAACTTCACTTTGTGCATAATGGGACATGTTCTACTATGTAGAGTATTTTTAGCCTCTCATTTTAATTTGTACTTTGAAATTGACTGTGAGATGTTAAAAACATAGAAATGAGTGGATAGAATGGAAAAACAGTGGTTGATTCTAATTGGCCAGGTAAGATGAGTCATATTATTTATTATTTCTTTACTCCTATTTATTTCTTAATGAATATGTAAGTTTCAGTGGCGTTATTGTAGCAGACTAGTGACCTTGTCATGTGGTGCTTGTGTAGCTGAACCAATCACAGTCGTTTGCGGTTGCATCATATGGAAACAAATTAAAACTTTTTTTAAGTAAGGTTTTATTTGTATATTATGTACCAGTCTTTGCATTTAAATACCTTGCATATTTCAAACGATTCTCTAGCTTCAGTGATGCAAAACACCTTGACCGCCGAGCGCCCACTAGAGGAAGCATTAGCCATTCCACTCCCTTCCGTTCATTGGTTGAACATAACCCCATCCACCTCCAGAGGGCGGAGTTTCCTATAAAATCAGTACAGCGTATTTACATATTATCAGATTCACTCAATTATCGAATGACTGATAATCTAACGGGAGAATATTATCGTGGATGTAGACTTTTCCGCCGCACCAGACCAATTAAGATATCATTTTATAATGAATTTCTTAAAGTTGGCCAATAATTTCTTCAGCCTGCAGAAGAAGGCGTAAATATATGGTGGCAGAATGCTGCAGTCTTCAGGAAGTTGTATATTTGAATCGATTCAACGGGGTGAGATCGAGCGAGTTACCCATTTACTACAGCAGGATCGGGGTGTTTTGAAACAAAAAGGTGAGACTTTTGTTTTAAGGGGGCTGTAATTGATCCACAGTGGCAGATGATGATGAAAGAGATTGTTACTTATCTTCGTTAGCATTTCACTTGAACCTTCCTGATCCTATTCAGGTCAGTAGAGCGTCATGTAAGTGTTGTTTTTTTTTCTTTTTTCATTCTTTCACCCACTTATCGTTTGCTTATTATCTATTTATGCACTATACTATCGATTAAAGAAAATACCTAGATGTGCGATACGTTTTGATGCATTTGTCGTTTCATTAGCCATGCTTCTTCCTTCCAGTCTGTTTCCGATACCTGTTACCCTGTGTAAGATGTCCTACCCTTCGACAAATGTACCATACATTTAACCATATAATAACCATATAGTATATTTTTCTCCAAAATACTATACAGAAATTGTCAACACGGTCATTAAAAAAGGGGAATTATTAAACAGACAAATACTAAACTCA